TGGGTGTGCATGGGGGCAGCCCCGGAGAACACATCGCATTCAAAATTCAGCCTGTGCATCGGAAACGTATGAGTTTGTGGAAAGCTTGTTTGAAGTCTTCGTTGGACATAGTATAGATGATGGGGTTGATGAGGGAGTTGAGATATCCAAGCCACGTGAAAAAGTCAAAGATGGCCATGTGGAACCAGCAAGCGTGCTTGCAAATAGGCATCACTAGGCTGATGATGAAAAAGGGCAGCCAACAGACGATGAAGGCTCCTAAAATAATCCCTAAAGTCTTTGTAGCTTTCCGCTCCCTAGCGGCCGTGAGCTTCTTTTTCTCCAGCAGGGCATCCGAGACCTTCACCTTCACCTGGTTCATGTACACCGGAGAGCCCGTTTCGCTGGATCCCTCGGGAGCCTTGGAGTTTATGGACGTGACAGAGGAGGACGAGCCCGGGGAGTCCGTGATTAACTGAGCCCGAGTTAGTCTTTTACCTGCTTTCTTTGGCGTCTGCTTCAAAATCCTCGACCTGGCTTCCACGTAGATCCTCCCATAGAGGGCTATCAGCAGCAAGGTGGGGAAGTAGAAGGCTCCCACCGTGGAGTACACGGTGTAGAGGACGTGGTCCGTGTTCACCACACAGTGAGAGACCTTCTCAGCCTTCGCCTGCCGCCAAAACAAAGGGGGTATGGAGATGCAGATGGAGAAGACCCACACCAGAGCAATCATGCCCGCTGCCCGCTTGGGAGTCCTTTTTGTAGAGTACTCGACGGCGTCTGTGATTGCCCAATACCGGTCCAGGGCAATGACACAGAGGTGCAGGATGGACGCTGTGCAACAGGTGATGTCCGAGGACAGCCATATATCGCAGACGATCTGGCCCAGCGTCCACTTCCCGGTCACAGTGTACATGGTGCTGATGGGCATGACGAGGATGGAGACGAGGAGGTCAGTGAAGGCCAGCGAGGCGATGAGATAGTTGGCCGGCGTGTGGAGTTTCCTCGTCTGGTAGACCGTGGCGATCACAAAGGCGTTGGAGAGTACCGTGGCCAGCGTAACGAGCGCCAGGACGACGGCGAGCACGATCTTGCCGGAGAGCGGCGTGCCGTCCTGGTAGATGCCCTCCTCGGCGCTGCAGTTTCGGCCGTGGTAGGAAGCATTGGCGGGGAGCAGCGGCAGCGGGGCGGCCGCCGCCGGGCAGG